TTATATTGAACAAAAATAATATATAGGGTTGGGTTCATGTGAGACCAGCATGTTTTCGTGTGACCATTTTTTTACACTTAAAACCAGAGACAGATGTAACATACAAATGGTGGGGGGATGGACCCCCATTAAGAAAAGAAAAAAAAATCTTAATTACTTAGGTTAAAATCAATTTTTCCTTTAACTTTCTAGCGGTCCTCCAGTAATTTCCGACCTCTTCCCCCATCAACAAAAAAAATTACCCTGAAATCAACAAAAAAATATCTCAAAATCAACAACAAATACATAAGAAGTCCCTCGAAATTGACAAAAAAAACTTAAAAATCTCTTGAAATCAACTGAAAAACTTTAAAAATCACTTGAAACGATAGAATTGGGCTAAAAATACACCAGACAACTTTACGAGCCTTTAATCTAACTTAAAGGTGCCCCCACTAGGCAAAAATTATGGATCCGCCACTGTTTGGAACTTCACAGCAAACACTGTGAAGGTAAAAAAAAACCGAACTTTCATAGCAAAAACATTGTGAAAGTTACCTTCACAGAGTTTTGTTGTAAAGTTTTAAGTGTAAAAAAGTGGTTTCATAGATCTCACGAAAACAAATTGATCTCACGTAATCCCAAGTTTATATATATATATATATATATATATATTCTGAACCCTTGGATTAGATCTACATTACAAGTTTTAATTGTAATGTCACAGATTAATTGTACCATATATTGTCTCTTTATTTTATCTGAATTGATGGTTTTAAAACGCTTCTGATAAATAAGGTATTTGATCCCATATAAGACAACATTTGTTCCCTTCCATAACTTATATAAGATCTTGCCGTTTACATCATCAAGTATAAATTTACGAGTTAATTTTCTTTCTTATATTTAAACAAATACATGGATTAATTTTATTTACAATTCAAAGTTTTCGTCAAACACGAATGTAAAACTTGTTTAAGATATTACGAAAATTTCTTAAAAAATAACTAGAAAGATACTCGTATGATGCAGCGACATACATCTTGATTTTAGTGTTTCATTTTTTTTGTCTCAGTAGATGTTATAGACTTATAGTACTGCTTTATATGGTTTTGAGAAAACGATAATGTTTTTATTTTTAAATAACATATAAATATGAAGATATCCTACAAATTGAAAAAAAAAATATTGATATTAGTACTAAACTAACTATTTTCTTCATTTTTTTTAGAATAATATAATTTGATATTACTACGAAACTAATTATTAGTACCCAAAAAAAAAATTGATATTTGTATATTTCTTTAATTCATTTTCTTATTTTTTGGTTTAATAATATAATCATTTATAAAGCTAATAATTAAGTATTTTGTTAGAAGTCAATGATTATCTTAATTGTATTTTAGATTTTTTATATATTTAAAATGAGATGTTCATTCTCTATTTGATTATGTTTATCTACAGTTAGTTACACGAATTCAAACAGTTAGTTACCACCCACTTTGCAGGTAGCCCCATAGTCACCCCATTTAAACCTTCGTGTGCACAAGAAGATTTTTTATTCGAACCTAGAACCTCCAGTCACTTTTGTGTTCTATTATCTCGTCAAACATTTTCATATTCGATTATTGTTTTTTTTTTGTGCGTGGTTGATCGTTGTAGGTTTTAGATATAAAAGAGAAGACGGAAACAGATAAAAAGAGAAGACGAGGTTATTTTCGTAATTTTAAAAAAGATAGTCATATATTTTAAATAATTAAACATTAAAACATATTTTTGATATGGAAGGGCAAAACTCAAAATTCCCATCTAGAAGCATTAAGTCTACATCACAAGTACGAATGTCATGACACCTCCAGGGGGGGAATCAAGTCTATTTAAAATACAATTTTCAAGATTTCTTGAATTTATTTAAATATTTTATATGACGTCATTTTATTAAAATAATATTACAACTTGGAGATAATGAAACAACTACATCATCCGATAACCCTTTTTAATTCAATTTAAAATCATAACAAAAGTTATTGGTAGCTCACAACTTTGAATTTATAAGAAGCTTTTAAGTTCAATTTTTTATCAGTACAAGATGGGTTATTACAGATCATAAATAAACTGAATGTTAGAAGTTATTATTTTATTATGATAAGTATATTTTGAATATAATTGAAATAAGTTAGGAATTAGGTGAAGGATTTATTGATCCAAATAAGCAAAAGTAATCCTTCCTCTAAATTGCTTATTATATCATCATCCTTTTGTTAGGTTAGTTAAACTAAACCCTAACATTTAAAAAGACCAAGCCATTAATTAAGCCACTTTTATTCATACCAAGCCATTAATTAAAAAGACCAAGCCATTAATTAAGCCACTTTTATTAATACCGAGCCATTAATTTAAGACTAAGACATTAATTAAGCCACTTTTATTAGTACCAAGCCATTAATTTAAGACTAAGCCATTAATTAAGCCACTTGTATTAGTACCAAGCCATTAATTTAAGACTAAGCCATTAATTAAGCCACTTCCATTAAAATACCAAAGGTCATTGAATAATGGGAGAAACAAAATAAGGTTGAACAAAGCCAATCACAAAAGGGTAGGGTTTGGGTTTTTTTAATACTATTATATATATATATATATAGAGAGAGAGAGAGAGAGAGAGAGAGAAAGATAAATGATCAAATACAAACCGTTCTAATTACAACCAATCACATAAATCCATTTATTTTTTTATTTTTGTTAATTTATAAGGGTATTATGGTCATTTGAATTTACAGTAATTATGTTTGATAATTATTTAATATTAATAGATAAGTTTGGTAACAACATAATATTGATATAAATATAGATGATATATTGATTACTACAATATTAGCAAAGATTTAATTAAGGTATCTATTAAATTTTTTGAAAAAAATCGCCACAATTTAAAAAATGTAAAATAATTTTGTTTAAAAAAAATCGCCACTAATTTCCAATGAAACAAAACCAAACTGTTCAATGAAACAGATTAATTTCCAATGAAACAGACTCAAACTGTTCAATAAAACAAGGTCATATATGATTGCATCAAGTTCATATGTATAACAACTGTAATGAAACAAGTTTATATTCATAGGTATGTATTAAAGTTTGTAATGAAACGGGTTCATATGTATAATAATTGTAATGAAATAGATTTACATTCATAGATATGTATAACAGTTTGTAATGAAACAAGTTTATATGTATAACAACTGTAATGAAACAGGTTCATAGATATAACAGCTGTAATGAAACAAATTCATAAAACATGTTTTTCCCCTTTTTCCCTTCTGTGTTTCCAATATGAATTTTTTTTTTTTTTACTTTATTTATTTAGTTTGTTTCAATCTTGGTTTTTCATCAAAAAAATTGGATGAATGTGATTAGTTTGTAAGGTTTGTATGAAATGGGCGACGATAGATGTTGGTGACAGTGGCAACGATGGTTGGCAGCGGTAACAATGGGTGGTGGTGGCATTTATCGTAGTGTGATGGAATGAAATGACGTAATATAAAGAGTATAATAATTTTTTTTTTATAAAAAATGGTTGGAAGGAATTGAAATTGTCAGCTAACACCTAAGGAATTTACTTTTTACCATCTGTGAAATTCGAACCATTTTTTATGGAAACTCAAAGAATGAACCAAACGACAAAAATGGTTTTGGAATATAAATAAATATTTAAAATGATTCTGGCCAACGGCCGCTGTTGTGGCAAATTAGATCGGTTTTCAAAATGGTTCACAAAGTAAATTTACATCGTGTTCATGAAAAGCAACAAAGGGTTATCATTCCCTTCCCTTATTGGAATTGCGAAATACCCATAATACCCCCTATAACTTTCACCTACTTCTAGAAAATGCCATGTTTTTTGCCACAATTACCATTTTATTATATTAACCCTAGATTTTGAGACTGAATCTATGAAGATCTCATAAAATGTCCAATCCTTTGTGAAATAACCAAAACTTAGGGGTCGTTTATCAAATGCTTATAAGAGAAGCGCATATCGACAATTACTAAAAAGGGGTCGTCACTTTTACTTAGGTGGTGTTTGTTTTTTAAGATGTGTCGAAGTCTGAAGTCATATTTCGCTTCTAATTAATAAGGGGTGGTGCTGAAATCTGAATTAATAAGACTGTTTGTTTTTGTAAACTGACAAACGTTTGAAGTATGAAATCTTAATCAATAGTTTGTTTTTGTAAAATATGGTACAAACATTTTGCAAAATTCTCTTGATTTTCATAAAATTTCCATTGGCGTAAGTCATCTCAACAATTGTTTAACAAATGGAACACAATAAGAACCTTTTAGATACCTTTCAGACTTCCACTGCTATCAGGTATGCCGTTGGTGAGTTTGTTTTGCAAAAAGATCGACTTTTGATAGATCGCCGATAGAAATTCATTTTTGTTTCACATTAATTTTCTAAGCTAACCTACAAGTATGTATGTATGTATATATATATATATATATATAGAGAGAGAGAGAGAGAGAGAGAGAGAGAGAGGGGGGGGGAAGAAAGTGGGGGCGTATATTTTACATGAGTGATGAAAGGACAGTGACGTTCCTGGTGGAAAAAGAAGTAATAGCCAAAGAAAAAGGGATATACAAGGAATTAAGATATTAGTTTACCTTTTATTTATTCAGATCCTATTAAGTAATAAGAGACTCGGGGAAAAAAAACCAGTCTGAATTATAAAACGTCTAAATGAATCACACATAAGTGGTAATTAAGAGTTAAAAATGAAAAAAACAAACAAGACCTTACCTTGTTAGGTAAGAATCAATTATCCAGTAAGCGCTAGTGTCTTCTGTATCATTTACTCGATAAGACTCTTGATCCTGTTATGTTTCTTACCTAGTAATATTCTTGGCCATTAATAAGCTCCATTGCTAACGCAAGAGTTTAGTAAACAGCTCCTTAATGTTATATAAAACCATATATTTTGTTTCCATTCCAAGGAAATTAAATAAATAGTTGATACAAAAAAAAGCTAAAATGAACCCAACATTCATTCATTTCTTTAAAGAAATGTACAACCCTGGAAGTACAACATGTGATGCAGCACCACAAATTAACTTCCTGCTAAAAGAACATACAAATCCATTGGTGTGAAATTGACAACATTTTCACTCGCAAAATGTAAATTGACAACACAGGAAGTCGAAAGTCGACATCTGTTATCCTCGTGCTAGCCTCCTCGCGCGTGCAACCAGACCAAGAAGAATTTTTTTCCTAGGTCCCTGTTACGAAAAGGAATAATATAAATCTTCAGCAATCCAGATAACCTAAGGTCATGGATCTATTAAGTTGTGTATGGATAAAGTTTTATGTGTGGATTAATCTGTCTATATAGATTAAGAATGTTTTTGTTTAGAAGAGTTTTTTCATAATAGATGGAAGGCGTATTTCTTAATTAGGAGGGACACGTTTGGAAAAAACTTGGCTTTCTGCATAAAGATCCCCCTAAAAGCTTACTGAATAAGCCACTTTCTGTATCATTAAGCCACTACCAAGCAGTTGTGTATAGCTGACCGAATAAGGTGCGAGTCCCATTAATCTCATTAAGCTGCTAACAAGCAGACCCTAAATCTTATATTTGCAAGCTAGGGGTAGAGGTCGGGTCCGCATACTATTATCGTATGTGATTATAAATCCTACCCGCATGGGTATAACACATTAGATGACAGTTTAGGGTGCATATAGTTAGTTCTATAGATGTACAGTTGATAAAAAAGAAAGAAAACGGTAAATATTCACGAACAACAAAAGTTGGGGAAACATACCATTGGTATTCCCAACTCTTTGAGATCATGGTCTCCCATCTGGCTCAATGCAGCCATATCGACCTAAAATAAATTGAAATAGCAAATCAAGATTACGTTTTGAAGACTCGTAGCTTAGCTTTACACTGAAAGATGAGCACCAAACATGATTTCAAGTAAAATACAGAGTGAAAATAACAGTTATAAACTTTCAATGGTTCATGAAAGTCGAAAACTTTTGGTAAGCACACCACAAAAACTTAAAGAGCCAATTTTGTATAAAGAAAGTTCTGTAAATAAGATAAGTTCACAATAGACAATCAAGAAGCATTAAAGAAGGATGAAACCATTGGAGTTCCGTTATACTCCGGAATCTGCTATTAGTTACGAATGCGAGGAGTAGGAAGGGGTAGTATTGGTAGAAATTTAATAAGGTTGGGCAAGATGTATAAGAGTAATATAGGCATTATGAGTAGTCTGTTAATATAGGCATTATGAGTAGTCTGTTGCATGGGGTAAAAAGGGAAAAATCGCTTTTAAGAGGTATGTTAACAGGGGATGATGGGAGGAGACGGTATACGGGTACCTCTCACATATTACCGGTAAGGTATAGGGGTAATGAACATACACCATTTCCATTAAAATGTTAAATGTCAATTTTAGTTGATATCTCAATTATTAGTAAAAGCTCAAGGTTGATAATGACAGCCAGGTCGCTATTAATTGCCTCATAGTTTCACTAACAAATTAATGCAGTTTGGCATACTCGGGTACTGTTTCTAAATGTTATAAATGGTGAACGACCAACTTGTATGGTTCTTAATTGTAATCATATCATTATGTAATTGTATCAAATGAAGCAAATATTGTAGTACATCGTATGCCGGTAGATAGAAATTTTCAATAGACATAGATTCATAGAGAATATGTAGATCGCTATGATCTATTATGGCACTAAAATAAAGAAAATATCCAAGTTACACCCAGCAGACTGACAGTTTGAATCCTTTTTTTCACCAAAGAAAGAGATTTAACCATCACGTCTCAACAGAAACCAGCATTCGATGCCTAGGCTGTGATAAAGGATGTTTCTGCTAAGCTTTATAACAGGACATTGGAAGACATCTGATGTGGCAATGCACAGTTAAATATCAAGGTCGTACAGTTGAGTCGAGCTAACATATGTTTAAAAGTGTGCTATTTTTATAATTGATCATACGCTAAGCCTCTTTCAACAGCCATACGATAATGTTAGGTTGCCATATACATCTTATATGGATAAAGCAAAGAGACAACAAATTAAAAATCTTTGCTCAATATCTTCATGCAACATAAATTTATAGTCTTCACGAGGATCTTAAATTAAAATTAAAAAGAAAAACTTTAAGTTAAGAATGCTACGTACCTCCTCAACCTTGAAAGAGAGCACATACTTATCCAATCCCAATGAGCGCAAAAATCCCTCTACAGTAAGATGTTCTTCTACCTAGAAGCAACGATCAGCAAGAAAAAATCAGATCACGAAACAATGTTACAGCAATTAGTTTAACAGGCGTTGTCCTAAACAAAAGGACAGACTAAAAAAGCAAGGACATTTTGAACCCCAAAGAAGTTTCAAAAAGGTAGGCCAATGAAAGGCCAGAGTTATATTGTTGCTCCTACAGGGCTAAACTCATGATTATTTCTCATTTGAGTTTTACCGTAACATGCCCACAATCTTAACATCAGTGAGTCACCTAACCATTTCAGATAGATACTCATAGCCGTTGAAGAAGTTACCATCTCCAATCAATGTATATGTGATATTATCCCCCACCTGATCTAGAATAAAGAACTCCAGATCACATGTTGAAGGCACTAAGACTTGGATACAATGCTAGAAAAAATTGCCATATGGTTCGATTGTCTTCCGAAACTGAAAACAATAGCACGGCCACAGAAACTTATTTTGATCCTAGCCATGTACTTCAAAAGAGGAACATCCATAGGCTCATAGCCCAGCAAACTAATTAAGCATATATTCACAGCTTCATGATGATTACATCAATATACAGATATCAACGAGATCAAGACTAAACCATAGCATAGCCACACAAATAACAAACATATGGCATATCAATCCTAATCGACGTCTTAAAGCACCAATCAGGGGCAAAGAACATAAGCATTTAGAAATTTTTGATTCAGAGAGTTATAATATCAAGTACTTCCAAGAGGGGTAAGATCCATAGCCTGATAACCCAGCAAACTATTAGAGAAATATTCATGGTTTTATGAGGATTTCACATATCATAGGGTATCAGCGTCGGAAGCTAGCAAAAACTAGTATCAGCACTCAGTTAGCCTAGTACATAGAAAAGGAGGAGTCAATGTTACCAAGTATTTTCTTGGGTATTAAAAAAGAGGCAGCAAACAGTTTCATGTCTAAACTAATTGGACTGTACAATTATTTCAGAAATTAATATTACAAAATGTATAGCAAGGCAAGTAGCTTAACTGGATATTGACTTCTTTGCAAAATGCCACCAGGTGGTAGCGGAGGGGCTACCAAGGGCCCAACGGGTTTCGTTGGCCCAGCAGAGAGAGATGGTTTTGACAGAAACGATGTGGTTGTCATGGGTCTTGAAATCTCACTAACATCCCGGTTGGCATATGTCAATGTTCTAGGATCGTCATATGCCCTCATCATCGCCCTTCTCTGTGGTTCTTCAGCCCTTCGGGGTGGTGATGAACCCCTTGAATTGTTCAAAACTCTATCTGGTGATTTACGCCTAATGTGATCCAAAGTCCATGGAGAGTAAGAATTTCTTAACAAGTTCATCTGTGACGGAACTTCTGAAGTTCTCATGGAAGTGAATTGCCCTGTCATGCTGGTATTGGTTGGCTCTGGAATGCGTTGTCTGACATCATTCAGCTTGGGTATACGCTGTCTGACCTCAAGTGGCTCAGGCATGCATTGTCTACTGTCCCTTGGTTCAGCCATCCTCTGTCTATCATCCCTAGATTCAGGCACACGACGTCTATCATCTCTCGGCTGAGGCATGCGTTGTCTCTCGTCCCTTGGCTCGAGCATATGCCGTCTCTCATCCCTTGGCTCGAGGACGAACTGCCTCTCATTTCTTGGTTCAGTCATACGCCTTCTATCATCCCTCGTCTCATGTGAGATCTCAGGTGCCCTCTGTCTTCCATGTCTGGGCTCATGCATGCTATGGGAGGTTACAGGGTTAGTGGTTGAAGGACGGGTTCGCCGTGATAGCATATCACGAAGGTCCACAGTGTTCTGCTGGCCATTGCTTTGTGTTCGCTTCATGATTTTAAATCTGAGATCATCTTTACTAAGATGAAAATCTTCGGGGCATAGAAAAGACGATAATATTAGGACTCTTACTGAAATTTCACCAAGCATTATAACAACAATGATGAATAAGCCCATTACCATCCATGCAATTACTGGCCTTCAAACTCCATCCACCATTATCAGCACGCAGCCTGAGAATTAAGGTAAAAGAAAAAATATCAAGCATAACAGCATCTACGGTTTTATCCATGGCAGTAACCAAACTGATTCTATTGGTGTCAAAAAAGATATCATGGAAGCAAATCTGATTATTCACAAGAAAGAGAGAATTGCTCCAATATGACGCATAAGATATACTATTATTCTTTAAACAACAAAGACAAAATCCAAAGTTTGTATCATCCCACTATTAGGTATAAGAGGAAGCTGTTTCAAACCTGAAGAACTTTGAACCTAAATGCTATTATCAGAGCTTGCCTCAAAACTGGAAAAGAAAATCCAAGCAGAATATGAAAAAAACTGGTTCCCCAAGCATAGATGGCACATCACCACCTTACAATTTCAAGACCAGATCACTAGTACAGCATGGTGACAGATGCAGGACTGGTGATGAGATCATCTTCATAACATAGTAATAGGAAATAATCTCAGGACCCATCTCTTGAAAGTTACAAATTAAATTTAAAAAACGATTAAAAACTCCAAAACAAATAAAATGATTTACTTTGTGCAATGTCTGAATATATGTGCAACATTTCTCTTCTTAGCTACGTCGATCCATGTTACCTCTTTGCACAATAATAGTCATTGCAATATATATATATATATATATATATATATATATATATATATATATATATATGGGGCACTGAATTTGGTCAACAAATTCCTCAATTTCCATTATTGAAGGAATGAAGGGTAATCTAGATACTTAACTAACAAATAGGTTTTAGAGTACGGAAAGTGAGGAGAGGCGTAAGCCTCAAGGCCAATATATATATATATATATAATATATATATATATAATATATATATATAATATATATATATATATATATATATATATATAAAATACATATCTAATAATAATATTTAAAATCACAATGCTATTAACAAAGTCTCGAAATATTTTAATATATGTAACTAGTATTTAAAGTTTTTTTTTATTAACAAGCAAATTAAAATCACACTTGTCAAGAGAAGAAGAAATCAAACACATCTCAAAAGAAGAAGAAAAGTCTCAAACAAAAGAAAACCCTCCGGTATAAACACCGAGTTGTGCAGTATGAAAATGAAGAGTTCTGAGTGATGTCATCCCCTCCCAATACCTAATGCCAAGACCAGCTAAGTAATGTCCTCCCCTCTCAACCTTCGCCTTCTTCAATGGCCAAGGCACAGCCGATTCTGTAAGTAGATTTAATTAAGGTCACGTTTTCTTATGAACTCCTACTTGTACCATGTAGGCTTTTGTTGGGCATATTATTCAACCATAATGCCTCAACCCTGCCTCAACCGCCTCAGTTGGTTGAGGCGTATGGCCCAACCAACCCAGCAGCGGCGCCGCCTCAGATGCGTTTTCTCACCGCCTTCCCTTGAGGTGAGTTTTAAAACCATGCTTACAATAAAAGATATTGGCAAATCATTTTTAATCAAACGTTGCATTTATTTCAAAACAAAGAATTTCATAGTGTACGAAGATACAAGTAAACATCATGAACTAGACACCTTTTTGTTGTTTAACGTAAAAAATGTACTGAAAATAAGAATTCTAAATTCATGGTATCAAAATGCGATCTTAAAACTTGTAAGTCAAGAAAACTCTAACCATTAAGCTAGTAGGTTCTCCATTACAAGCTAAACATGCAATGGTACTTACTGAAAAATCATTTAAGACAACCCCTAGCTTTGCCTTTGGTACAACAGACTATGTAGCATGATGATGGTATTGTATCTTCAGAGATAACTTAACTACTCAAACAAATTAATTACTGCTCAAATAAGTTAAAAAAGAAAAGGGAGGCCATCATTCACCAAGATATGTTCCTAGGCTTTGACAGGGTTGGGGAAGGAAGTCTGTGTACACAACCTCTCCCTAGGGACATTATTCAGGCAACCCAAACCATCCATCTTCCTATCACAGATGAGTGACCTTACCAATTGCTCTAAGGCTCATCCCGGGATAAATTTTAGTGAAGACCAATATAGAATCTCTAAGAATGAACCCAAGAACTTAAAATCAAACTCTAACAAAGTACAAATGGAAAACAGAAACAACCGCACCGTTTATTATCAAGCTGCACTGCATCCACACTACTTCCTAGTCTATCTCTAACTGATCGTTTACTCCCAACAGCTGGAACTGGACCAGAAAGCTCGCTGTCCAATACAGCTCCTGCTCTTTTCACCACCTACAGAAATCAACAGCTACCATATGAACATAATGATCTCAAAAACCCCCAAAAAGAACTAGTCTGTCACGGGTTTCACCATTTATCATTCACTTCCACTGTACCGTAAAATCGATAGAGTAAAACAACGTAATCAATGAATCAATACACTAGCACGAATATGACCAACAATAACATCATAAATGGCAACGTTTGTGTACCTGTCCACTGCGACCTAAGGTGATTGTGACTTGCGACCTTGAGGTATCTGCCATAACTTCAAGTTTCAATAGGAAAAAAGAAGGGGTTATGGAAACCCTAGGTGTTTGTTTCCATCAATTGACGAATGGGGATCTCAACATATAACTACGCATCATCATCAAATTGAAATATGAAACCCTAAATAGAATCGAAAGATCGAGTAACGATGAAACAAAATTGAATTTGTATCGAGTGGAGGAATCGGTGTGCGAGAGAGATGGAATCAAAGAGGGGTGATGTGGTCGTGGAAGAAAGGGGTATTTCATGTTATAAACAAAATATTTGGTTAATTAATACATGTTTATTTTGGATTGTTTATAAAAATAACTTAGTGAATTATTTCGGTATGATATCGATAATAAGTATTTTTGAATGTTTGGATAAATAATTTATATTGATGTCAAACCGATAATAATGAGTTTTTGAAGAAGTTAAACCCTTCTGACTTATAATCTATACTATTTTATTAAATAAATTTAGCAAAAGTTAAGTCTTAAAATTTTAAATGACCAAAATACCTTTTATACTCACATTTTCACTTTTTCACCCCTTCTCTCCTCACATACTCACCCCCTCACATACACTCACCCTCTCACAACCTATTTTTTTAAAATTATAATTTTAAATTTACACTTTATACCCTTATAATTAATTAATTAATTTACTTTACTTTACGTTCTTTACTTTTAAATGTTTCATTTTAAACATTTATCAAATTAACATACATGATCGTATATTAATTAAAACATGTTTAAAAAATACATTTTTATTTTAACAAGTTACAACATTATGATCGTCTCGTTAATACCTTCGAAATGAGTCCAATATTAAATAGTTTTTTACTTAATTATATTATTATATGTTATATATACTGTGAAAAAATATTTTTAATATTTACGATTTATACTTTTACAATTATTTATTTATATATATACCATATATTTTGAGGTTAGGCCGTCCAAATTGTACTGTATAATATGTTTTGAATTAATATGTTTTTGGGTTTTTTTTTTGAAATATATATATACATGTATTAATTCAACCTTAATCTGAGTTTTTGACAAAAAAAAGAGGGTAAACAGTTGAAATTTTATTCTAAAACCCATCTTTTTTTGTCTTTTCATGGCTTATGATCTGTCAAATTTGTAGTTTTTTTTATTGGTTTTGAGTGTTTATCTTAAAACTTAAGTTTTTTTGGTTCTTTGCTCTTGGTGTAAACCGAATACATTTGTTGAGTCGTTTAAATATGTTGGATTTTAAATATATTGGATTTTAAACTGTCATACAATTTTTTTTCATCGATAGTCTGTAATTGGAACCATAACTCTTATTTATTCAATTGTATTAATATGTAAAGACCAAGTGTAACATATATCATCGTTAAATCTTATCTTATAAAACCAATGGAACTTCAAAATCGTTAAAATTCATGGCTCCTGCCGCATTGCGCGGATACACAACTAGTAAATTAATAAGTGTTTTTATAAAAAATCATAAGTTATTTCAAATAAACAATCCCAAACACCCCTTTAATTGAATATTATTTGAACATGAAAACATATATTTAGTTTAAAATATAAGAAAATGTGTGTAATATATGCATTTGTAAACATCAGAATTAAATTATATATTGAAAATATAAAAATAAGTATTTATGCTGATGGTGCGAGTTACGAGAAGCAAATTAATAGGTAAAAATATATTTAATAATAGGGTCAAAATTTATGAAATAGTAATCTTTTTCTATAAATTTTTTATTATAATATTGTACTTTCAGTTTTTTTATTACAGTAATGTATTTTTAATATATTTTTTTTATTACGACATCGTACTTTCAAAAATTTACCTGTTATAGCATTGGATAACATTTTAAATTAAATTTACACATTATACCAGGATTCTTTGCCATCCCATCGTCCATGTAGGTTGTCCACATGTACGATAGTGCTGACATGACATTTCTTATTATAACATTGTACTTTTACAAATAATTTTATTATAATATCATCGATTTCTATTACAACATTGTACTTTTAATTTAAATATTTTTTTATCATTTAAACATTATAAATTTAATCAATTTACTAAAAATTATAATATCATTAATTAAACATGTTTACAAAATATCACTATTTCACGAATAAAAAAATTCATAAAAGACCATTTGTTCATCAAGTTCATGGTTTACATTGTAATGTCAAAAACCTAAACAAGTGGAACATCTTAAAAAAAAAGACTCAGCATGTTCATATTCGTCTAACAATAATATTTAATCAAGTGGAACCGCCTTGTCACGACTACTACCTTTTCCATCTTTCTCAACAGTATTTTTCCGTAGGTTGTACCTACTCTAGAGAGAGAGAGAGCTACTAGTTCTAATACAAGAGAGCGAGCAAGCTACTAGTTCTAATACCTCACTCTTTCAACCATCTTCATGTTCAAAGTTATCTTTTTACTTGGCTTCCATGTCAGCACTATCGTACATGTGGATAACCTTCGTGGATGATGAGGTGACAAAGAAACATGGTATAATGGGTAAATTTTAATTAATATGTTACCCAATGCTACAACGGGTAAATTTTTGAAAGTACGATACCATAGTAAAAAATATTTTGAAAGTACATTGTTGTAATAAGAAAAACTGAAAGTACAATGCTAAAATAAGAAAATTTGTAAAAATAGGTTGTTATTTCGCACATTTTGCCCTTTAATAATATATGTAAAAATTAGCCTACACCATAAAAAAATTGAACAGAGACGGACTAAATATACTTCTATCTATTAATTTATTATATCACACATATCAACATTAAGACTTGTTTTTTATATTTTCAAATGCATAATTCTTACAATAAAAGGGGTTTCATAAAGCAATTTTTAGCTTTCCCTATTGAATAATGATTAAAGACTATGTTTAGTAGCGATTTAAGGTATCTTTGATTTGTAATATTAAATTATTATTAGTCTCTTATTTCTGATTCATTAAGAAATAGTATCATTCAGACGGTTTGTTTTTCTAAATTTTCAGATGCATTTGTATCTTATTGTCCTCTTATCTGGTAAGAGATAAACCAACATCTTATTTTTCTCTTATTATTCTCGAAATCTTTAGCAAGGAACGTTTCTCAATCAACAATTAACCTTAATCGATCATTTCTTTCAATTGATCATTTACCAAATCAATCATCACATCTCTCAATTGGTGTATTATAATATAAATGAATTTAAATGTGTTAAACACCGTTAGTGACGTATTTTCGTTTAAGTGAATGATAATTATATAATTTAAATATAAATTACGTAATGATGATGAATAAATATGTGAAATTGTATATATAAGTTCAACATCATAATTTTCTAATCGGTAAAATAGACAAGTTAAACAAATTTAGACAATAATCATCTTACAAAAACAAACAGTCTTGTTGATTCAGATTTCATACTTCAGCACCATGGTTAAAAATGTTTACCCGACAAGTGTTTACCGATAGAATTCAACATTATAATTTATTTTGATACGTAAGATTTTAGCACATCAACAAGTTACTGGTAAGTGCTTACGTGGGTAAGAGTCGTCATCCTTACTTATCGGGTAATACTCTCTATCATTTTCATTGTTCTTACCCGGTAAGATTCTTGACCCTTCTCATGTTCATCCGATAAAGGAATTTATCTGGTAAGCACTTACCAAGTAAGTGTTTAGTAAACAGCCCCTAAAATGTCCCAAAAAACCAATTTTTGATGATTGTTGATGGTTTTCCTGTAAAAAAAAGGGTAAATAAAATCAATTGTTGGATATGATTTTTTTGGTGCAAATTCATCTTCGTACATTTCTCAAACTCCCAAAATAGAATTGTTTCTAAACGCCACTTTCTCCTTTCTTAACAACCTTAAAACGAATTTAGGATTTTTGATCGAAAAAACAAATGGAACAGAAAAACAAGAACTCGAAAAAACCCTCGTATTCGAGATTCTCACAACAAGAGCTTCCAGCTTGGAAACCAATCTTAACCCCCGGATGGGTGATTGCATCGTTTCTAACGATTGGTGCACTTTTCATCCCGATTGGGCTTGTAGCGCTTTCCGCATCAGATACTGTTGTGGAGATCATTGATCGTTATGATGAAGATTGTGTCCCCGATGCTTATTCTAAGAACCCTGAATCGTTTATTCAAGATCCTGATATCAAGAAAACGTGTGTAAGGTCTTTAAGAGTACCCAAGAAAATGGTTGCCCCTATCTTTGTCTATTATCAGCTCGAGAATTTCTACCAAAATCATCGTCGGTATGTCATTCATCCCCAATTTTTGTCTTTCATGTTTTTGAAGACGGGTAGTTCTGCATACGTCATGTCTCTCGATGACATATTGGATTTATTTTGATTTTTATTTTTGTTTTCAGATTCGTAAAAAGTAGAAGCGACAAGCAACTACGTGACCCTGAGGCTAAAAACGATACATACAATTGTTTCCCAGAAGCACGCACCGCCGATAACAAACCAATCGTCCCATGTGGACTCATTGCTTGGAGTTTATTCAACGATACTTACAAACTATCAACACGAGGCAAACCGATAACCATCGACAAAAAGGGTATCGCGTGGAAAAGCGACACGAAGGTCAAGTTCGGGTCAAACGTGTATCCGAAAGATTTCCAAAAGGGGGGCTTGATTGGGGGTGCAAAGCTCGATGAGAAAGTACCTGTAAGTGTATTTTCGAGTTTCAAGAAACCCGATTTAGAAAACTCAAGAGTAACATCGTCTTTTCGATATGTTTCAGTTGAGCGAGCAAGAAGATCTTATTGTTTGGATGAGAACCGCGGCACTACCTAATTTTCGAAAGCTATACGGAAAAATAGACATCGATTTGGAAGCACACGAGACGGTAAAGGCTGAAGTAGAGAATAACTACAATACATATAAATTTGGCGGACGAAAGAAGCTCGTTCTTTCGACGACAACCTGGATTGGCGGCAAAAACGATTTTCTCGGGGTGGCATATATCACGGTAGGTGGTTTATGTTTATTTATGGCGATAAATTTCATACTTCTGTATGTTTTTCGTCCACGACGGCTCGGGGATCCATCATATTTGTCATGGAATAGACTTCCGATCGCGTGAGATCCCCAAGGCTTGCCCTTCGGTAGGTCGATCATGAAAACCCCGTAGATTGACGATAGATTGTATAAATTACTGTAAACAAACTTAACTACTTGTACATGTCCAACTATTTTTCTCCATTTCAAACCAAAACCAAACGGACCCGGTAAATCTGACTCGAAGGTAGGGTCCACGAGGGGTGAGATATACGCGAGCCCAAATCAGTCCCGATCCAAGATTTCCTTTTGTAACCGGTTTCGGTCCCGACCAAAAACACCTTGCCCATTCTCCTTGTACAAAGCCCCGTCCCTAGAACCGGTGCCGGTCCCGGGCCGGGCCCAAATAGGTCCCAAATTTTTCTCCAAAAAATCATTTTTTAACATATAAATAATCTTGTTTGAAGATATCCTTTCGACAAAATCTTATTGAAATACACTTTAAAATGTTATACATGTACTTGAGAATCATGTAGAAATATTGAAAAACTTGATATATAATTTATAAAAACTTAATCTTAAAAAATATCGGGTCTATGTAAAAGCAGGTCCCGATCGGGCCTTGAATTTTTGTAAAACCATAACCGGTCCCGATCCCAATCGGTCCCGGTCCTAAGATGGTCCTGGGCAGGCCCGGCCCGGCCCACATTGGCCATCCCTACCCAAAAGTAGAGAGGTTGTTTCCATGAAAACCCCAGCTTATGCAAGAGGATGTGCAAACAAGTAGCGGGAATAAAGATTAGCATACGTGACAAATTCTCCATTTCAAACTAAAATACATGAAAACAGCAGGGTTCGTGTCGTGGAGAATTCTATGAAAAACTATACACACACGGTAACCGTTTTAACAATGCATAGGCCTATCGTACGATGGGGGGAGAGAAGGGCAGTTTTCGTTCATTTTAGCATACGGTTCTATCGTATTGTATAAAGGCAGTTCCATGAGAAACTCACCGAGAATTTGGCAGAATGGAAGCCGATCATCACCATTGTTGCACCATACTGGCAGCCGTGTGTGGTTGTTCTCAAAGATTTTGAGCATATAAGCATCGCGAATCTGTAAAACAATCATAAACTAGCGTTACGGACCACTCTGATTGAATTCCTTCCATTGTAAAACGGCACAACACTTTGACTTTTGAGGTCAACGCACGGATTAAGTTCTAATTTTATGATATTTCATCAACCTGTGCCAAAAAGATTATGAAAAAGACCTCAAAAGTTGATGTAATCTTGAGAGTAGGTTAGGTTCTTACGGTGAACTCAGTGACTTGAATAGAATCGGAAACAGGGCCGAAAACTCCAGCAGCTTTATACATTTGCAGAATGAAGGCGACACAAGTTGTGGATTTCCCGTCACTGTACACCCATTCATCTTTTTCTGGAATCGTGAGCAATTCATCGAAGGAAATGCCTCGTTTTTCCGTCTCTTCCAAGATTCCGTACAAGTCCAAACCCTGGTAAAGAAATAGTAAATAGGTTTGAATGCTTTCCTTTATGGATTTCGGAAAGTATTTGCAACTGTTGGGCGAGTGCTTCAAATATCTTACACAATTGTGTCATATAGGGTGCATTTGGTACGTAGCGAGAGTGAGGTAAGCGGGTGCAAAAATTTGTGAGAGGTTTTAGAGTTTAAATTTGACATGGGTAGTTTAGTAATTTACCAATTCCACCTATTTGGTATGACAAAAAAGGTGCATTTCTCTCCCACACAGTCACGTCCAGCCCGTCTAATTGTTGCACCAAAAGTGAGACTAAGGCGCTGTTTGGTTGATTTTCCATTAAGTCATGTATAAAACTGTCTATGTGGATTAATTTGTTTGTATGGATTGAGAAAATTTTTGTCTGGAAGAGTTTTTCCATAGATGGAAGGAGCATGTTTTTTAATTGGGAAGAGTAGGTTTGGAAAAAACTTGGCTTTCTACAAAAAGCTCCCCCAGAAGCTTAATGAATAAGCTATTCTCTATATTATAAAGCCACCACCAAACGTCATGTATAGCTAACTGAATAAGCTGTGAGTCCCATTAAGCTCATTAAGTTGCTAACAAATAGACCCTAAGACAATATGTTTTTGTTTCGTCCATTACTATCCCGCATACCGCACCCCTAGTGAACTATCAGAGAAGAATCGAAATGGGGATTGAATAGAAACACTATTTTGGGTACGTTAATAACTTAATACAGGTTCCCCGATTTGTTAAATTTGTATTTCACACATAAACTTATCTAAAAGAGCTACGAACCGCAAGAAAATAGCAATTACCTCTGTCCCAAGGCGCAGATTTAGAGCTTCATTCCACATATTTGCAGCATATGCAGGCTGCATTCTAGTCCACATAGACATGACAGAAATCACCTGCAATCAAGTTTGATAGTTAGTTCAACCATTTAGCGTATTCAACCTTGAAAGTTTAAGCAAATTTCCCCTGAAAAAAAGGGTATCTATGATGATAATATTGTGTTCAGAATTATTGATATAATCGTGGTTGTTTCTTATGTCACTATAGTTGTTCTCTTCTTCCTACCATTGGCTATCCTGCTTGGTATGCTAAAGCTAATAAATAACCTGTTGGCCTAATGGCCCAGACATTATACTGCCAAGATCCGTCCCCCGGTAACTATCATTGTTAGTCCCAATTTTAGTGTTAAAAGTGTGAAAAGGAAAACTTGAGTGTAAAGTAGGAAAAATCACTATTTCTAATTAGGAGTCCCCTCCCCATTTGTAATTGTGGATGTGAGTTGTTTTTACAAACACTCCATCTCCAAATACCCTCATTATTTCAATCCTTGTAAGATTGTTGGCCATGATTAATCATATCATTACGATTCCATCATATTGCTCTTCCTATTGAATAATAGTCCTATATTTTTTGATTATATGTCCTTAAATTTATAAATTGTTTTGACCTAAATTGCTTCAGCTTTACATATTTTGTTTAGATCATTGATTCAATATGAAATATGGGAATCATATGAAGATGCATAATGCAAACCAAGCATTTGGTATAAATACCAGCAAAGAATATCTAGTTTCTACAAGAAGCAATATGAAAAATAAGAAATTAAATGTCGGAGATGAGCAAATAGTGTGCATTTGGTACACTGGACAGGACAGGATATGACAGAATAGAACAAGAATCATTGTTCCACGTTTGGCAGCACTTCTACATGGAACAGAATGGAACAGGAGTGTTCACCAAACCTATATTTTACCAAAATAACCTCAAAATAAAATATAATTCTCTTCTAAAACATTTTATTCATTCTTTCACTTTAATATCCTCAAAATATTATTTTTGTACAGTTTCTATATTTTGATTAATTTATGTAATTTATTATATATTAATAATAGAAAAATAATATAGAAAAGGTATAAAATAAAAATTGGAACTACATGCACTTTTTATTTTGGTATCATCTTAATCGTCTTGATGAAAACTTTCTAATGATATATTTTTGTTGTAAAAAAATATTTATTTTATTATAATTCAATAAATTACATAAATTATCAAAATATATAGAACATATAAACATCTCATCATGGGTAAATTGGTCATTTTATTTGTTCTGTCCTGTCCAGTTTTGTCTTACCAAACGTTGAACAACAGTTCTGTCCTACCCTGTTTCTTGTTAGAAATCAAACGCACCCATAAAGAACATAAAAAGTGAACAGGGCAATATCAGCAAATAAAGAAGACAAGTGTCACAATAGTATACTCGCATTCATGGACCATGATAGCGGTTGAAATATTGTAGGCATATAGATGATACGATCAATAACAAAGGTAATAGGTCATACCAAGTGAGCATCAAGAGGTGGTGGAAAGTTGTCACCGATCGTGTCAATCCAACTAAAAATCATGTTATGATAACCATATGGCTTGCCTGACATGCTCTGAGAATATTCCCATGCTGCAGTATTGTTCCACTTTGCACGAATATCAGGATGTAATGGTAGCAAAGCTATTTGTGGGTTAGAATCATCCTTAAGTGCCAAATCCCACCATTCATCCCAAGGAATAATCACAATAATTTCCTCACCCTGCAAGAAAAACCAAGGCCCAATATTAGGATTAAATTTTTTTGGAAGAGTTGAACAATGGTTACAACTTCATTTGCTTCAGAACAATTCAAGATAACATGCACGAGGGTTGTGGCGTAGCGATTGAGGTCCTGGGGGATGTGGTGGAACATCCCATCTAAACAGGGTTCGATTCCAGGCGTACACAACAATTGTGGCCATTGAGTTTATCAAGGCTGATTTCTTGCAGTCATAGTTTGCCGGGATTAGTCCATGCATAGCCTGTGACACCCTTCCAATATATACACATATATAGGGGCAGGTTCAAACGAGAAGCCAAACATTTATGAGAAGGCAAGAAGTTTCAGTATCATATATTATTACATACATGATACACAAGCTTGAACATATATGATTAAACACACCCAATGAAGTGTAATTATATATGATATTGAAACGTCTCGCCTTCTTGCATGTTTAACTTCTTGCATGATCCTTCCTCTATACATGTGTGTGTGTGTATATATATATACCAAGTAGACCAATATATCAACCCAAAATTTAGTTTTCATCAGAAATTTCTAATCAATTCCTATGAAAGGTTGTCATAGGCTATGCGTATTCTACAAAATTAACAGTGAGATGTAGACAAGGAAACTACCTGGGAAAATGTTTTTCTAAACTTTCCCTTTCTATATTTCATCTAGCAGAGACAATATCATATACTAAAAATAAAGAAAAATGCTACATAAACTTGATTAATGCAGTCAATAAGTTGTAAATTGTATCTAATTCGTTGCATATCAGAGGTTGCATAAGATAGGGAGATGATTTTTAGTTCATGACACAAGAACTCAAGAAGAGATGCCATTCATCAACAATACGAATATAGCAACTTGAGGTCTCCAAGATTTGAATCAAGAAACATATGGTAACTTCACGTATATGGAATCTAATACAAAAGTTTTAGCGAACCTTTTCAATGTTGTAGACATTCATGTTGATCTCCACTTTTTCCATATATAAATGAAAGATAAAGTGCTTATATCTTGGGCATTTGATTTATTACCATGCACTTCAATCTAATAATCATTGTGTGGTATTAGTATGCAGTTTGGTCTCTCTAACCTTTCCAATTCAATAACAAGACCAAATAACTAGACAACCCCATTGAAAGAAAATTAGTAATGCTTACATAAAGCATGTGCTCAGACTTCTTTATTCAGCATGTATATGGATATTTATGCAACCAAATAGGCAACAAACATGGTAAAAAGTAATCAAGACAAATAAGGGGCTGTTTGGTTGGTTTTTCGTTAAATCATATGGATAAAGCTGTTTGTGTGGATTAATATGTATAGATTGTGAAGGTTTTTGTTTGGGAGATTTTTTATTAGATGGAAGGAGCATGCTTTTTAATTGGGAGGGAGGGTTTGGAAAACACTTGGCTTTCCGCATAAAGTTCCCCCTTAGAAGCTTACTGAATAAGCCACTTTCTATATCATTAAGCCACTAACAAACAGTCATGTAGAGCTGACCGAATAAGTTGTGAGTCTCATTAAGCCCATTAAGCTGCTAACAAACAGACCCTAACTCTACTATCACATTGTTATGACCTTAAGATTTGCAAAACCTTTACCTTTTCATTCTCATGTCCTGATTCGCCAACCCAAAGATTGCCAAAGTCATCCTTCAGACAAACTGCTGTATGACCAGCAAATGAGCCAGTTACCCACTTCTCCAATGTTTCAAAGCCACCCCATCTTCCACGGATCTTTGACACGGCTAAGAAATCACCAGAGTGGACATCATCTGGATTAATAGTTCCCTGCCATGGCTGATGGCGCTTCTCAAACGATGCACCCATGTGATTCTTCAGAAAATCAAGGTTAGCATTTTGTCCCCAACCCGTGTTAGAAAACAAAGGCAAAACATCAACCAAAGAAACCAAGGTCCCCAGCATTCCGGCAGGCATTAGAAACACTGAGATTCCATGCTGTTTTACCTGGAAATCAACAATGCAAGATAGCAAAATTGAATCAATCGCGCCCTTATTAGATATAAATCCAACTGATACAAGGGTGCGTTTGGTACACTGTACAGGACAGAACAGAACAGGGATAACTGTACCACGTTTGGCAGGACTTTTATATGGAAAAGTGTGGAACTGGCATGTTCCACCCCTACCCCATGGAAAAGGTGGAAGAGTCTTATGTTTTACCTTATACCCTCAACATAAAACTTAAATTCTCTTCTAAAACATCATATATGCCTTCCTCTTTACATTTTATTCATTTTTTAAATTTTATTTATCGTATTTTATGTTTTTTAAACTTTCATTTTATAGTCCTCGAAATATTTTTTTTATATGGTTTCTATATTTTGATTAATTTATATTAATTTATTTAAATTTTCATAATTAAAAAGAATAATATAGAAAAAGTATAAAATAAAAATTGGAAACTAAATGAACTTTTTATTTTGGTATCATTTAATCGTCTTGACGACAACTTACTAATGATATATTTTGTTATATATAATATTCATTTTATTATAATTTAATAAATTACATAATTAATGAAAATATATAAACAACTCATTAGGGGTAAATTGGTCATTTTATTTGTTCTGTCCTGTCCAATTTCATCTTACCAATTTACCGAACAACTGTTCTGTTCTGTTCTATCATGTATGGATGCCAAACGCACCCCAATTGACATGAACATACATATTCCAATTCAGCAGGTTCTTCCCAGGAATCAATTGTCAAAGTATGCTCCCGTGCTGTGAAGTAGTAGTCCCAGGTAATCCTATAGGGCGTTGCAAAAACATAAAGATCCATACATGTCCAACTATGTGCATCATTTGTCTGTAGAATGAAATGCAAATGCAAGAAACACCATAAGCAACAAAGCAACAAGGCAACAAGAAATCTCACTCAAAACAGCATCAGCATTAAGACAACAAGAATTCTTACTCAAAGCAGCATCGAGATTAAGACAACAAGATTCTTACCAATTCTATCTATCATGACTTAAATTAATAAAAATTGTGGCCTCCTTCCCACAAATCAAGCAAGCTGAGTTGTGATCAATCCAATAATCACATTAAGGGCCTGTTTTTAGCAGCTCAATAAACTTAGGGGCTGTTTGGTTGGTTTTCCATTAAGTCATGTATGGATATAAAGTTGACTGTGTGGATTAATCTCTCTGTGTGTATATTAGGAAGGTCTTTGTTTGGGAAGGGTTTTGATAGATGGAATGAGCATGTTTGTTAGTTGGGATCGACAGTTTTGGAAAAAAACATGGCTCACTGCATGAAGCTCCCCCCTAAAGCTTACTGAATAAGCCAAAAGCTAACTAAATAAGCTGGTTTCTATATCATTAAGGGGCCGTTTGGTTCGCAGAATGTTTTCTGAAGGAATGGAATCTGTCAAAAGAATTTGACTGTGAAAGAATGGGAATGGAATTTGACCACGCATTTGGTTGGAATGACATGGAATGGAATTTGTTAAATGATATGGAATCTACCTGTTTGGTTGGTAGAATGTAGCTTCGGAATTGAAATGAATAAACGATAAATGACCAAAATACCCCTTCTATAACGGTGGTGGTCAGCTGTGGGTCATAACGACGGTTCAGATCGGTGGTGGTCGGCGGTGGTTCAGAATGGTGGTGGTCGGCGGTGGTTCAAATGGAGGGCATGTGGTAGATGGGGATAATTTGGTCTTTTTGAGAAAATGGAATGAAATTGAATTTCTTTCTCAATTGTGATGGAATGACCAAACCAAATCCATAGTAAGTGGAATGTTGGAAATTCAATTCCATTCCATAGTAAACCAAACGCCTAAATGGAATTTGGTCAATGGAATTAATCATTCCAATTCCTTCTGTCCATCAGAAACCTGCAAAGCAAACGTCCCTTAAGCCACTACCAAACAGTTACATATAGCTAACCGAATAAGTTGCGAGTCTCGTTAAGCTCATTAAGCTACTAACAAACAAACCCTTAATGGGACTCATATTTTATTCAGTCGGCTATGCATAAATGTTTGGTAGTGACTTCATTAAATAGAAAGTGGCTTATTCACCGTAAAAGCCAAATTTATACCAAAACTGCCCCCTCCCAATTAAAAAAACTACCCCTCGAATTAAAACCCACCCAAACAAAATCTATACAACTTTATTCATTAAGGTACTTAATTGAAAACCAACCATACAGCCTCTAAGATGTCTATTAAACATTACATTGTTCGTTTCAAGTTTGGAGAAGTGAATGAGCCTGTAGTTTAATGTATAACAAAATACGTGTAATTCTCTCTTAATTAACAAATCATATACCAATTAACTGAACACATTAGGGTTTTTGCTGCGTACAGAGAAGATTTTGCGAACCTTGAGATAGATAACACCACCGCCCAAACCACGATCATCGCCTTGGGTGAAATCCATACGAGCTTCATTGCCATAAAAACAAGCACCTTTCCACTGAATTGAGCCGTTATTGGGAGAAATCGTTCCCATAAACGACGGCAACAAATCCACAGCACTGCCGAAGGTGTTCAAAACAGGCCAGGAAACTTGACGTGGTAGAACGGGTAAGACATCGTTAACCCTAAAAGGCAACTTGAGAGCATCCCCAAACTCCAGAAGAAACCCTAACACTAATAACCCTAGAATGCATAACAGTCTCCATGGCAACATCGTTGGTGGTGGTGTTACTTGTCAGTTGGATCCATTGAAATCTGTTGGAATTGATTTTGGGTTGAATTTTGTGGATTAAGACGCTTTTAAATGTTGGGATTTGGAGGTGGTTTTAATTGTTTAACGAGAGATATCAGATATCGGAAATTAAAATTCGAAATTAAAATCTTTAAAAAATATTAATCAATTTTAATAAATTCTCTCTTAAAAATTTTAAAAACAATTTGTTATACATAAATTACTGATTATTAATGCATACTACTTAAAATTCAAGATTACAAGTAGAATTTACATGAGTCTATTAAGGCTCTATGTTTAAATTTGTGTAACTAACTACATATAAACATAATTAATTACATGATAAATATCATTTTATAAGATATAATTAAGTATTTTGTTATAATTAAGATAATCATTGAGTTTTAATATAATATTTAATTATTATCTTAAAAAATTATTTTATTAAACCAAAAATAAATTAGTTCGTTATTAAACTTTAATTAAATTATAATAAATAAAAAATTGAATTAAATAAATTACATAAAAAAAGAAACTTTTAAATAATTAATTTGATACTAATATCGATTATTTTTTTTCAAAATTTTATAATATCTTCAAATTTATATTTCATTCAAAAATAAGAACAATTTTTCTTCTCAAAACCACATAAAAAATCATATTACCCAAATTGCAAAATGAAACATTAAAATCAATATGTATTTCGCTACATTACACGAGTACGCTTCTGGTATTATATAATTTTAATATAATTCAAAAAAACTCAATAAAGAAATATATTAATTCAACTTTCATTGTTGGAATGAATACAAATTTCATTCATCTCTCATTTCCTTAAGAGTTGTTTGGAATGTCCAATCCTTTGACCAAATTCTAAATAGAGTGTTTGGTTCATGGAATAAGACTATAAAATCCTTTCAATTCCAGTCGATTTCTTCATGCACATATTTTACAATTCCATGCCAATATGCTAGGATTTCAATTCATTTCCTACAAATTCCTTCCCTAATTCAATTCCATGCAACCAAACGCAATCACAAGGCACGGTCAAATTCCATCAAATTTCATTTCATTCCCTCAAAGTCAAATTCCATCAAATTCCATTTCATTCCCTCAAAGTCCAATTCATTTGATGAATTCCAATTCCATCAAATTACATTCTACGAACCAAACGCCCCCTTAAAGTTTTAAAAAAATATCTGTGTTGAGAGTTTTCTCCATTGTTTTATATTTTAGAGAATATAAAAAGGAAGTTGTTGGAGTATTATATAAAAAGTAAAATGTTGATTTTCTCTATTTTAAAGAAGTTGTTGAAGATGCTCTAAATTTCACATTTTTCATTGTTTTTCTTTGGAAATTAACCAAAATAGAATATCTTCTAAAGCAAATTCATGTTTTAATCATTTTTTTTCAATTAAATTTTCATTTTAATCAGATCTTATACAAACGACTTACGGCATAAATCATATTCTTAAATTAAGGGAAAAAAAATATTTTGACATCAATTTACATAAAGAATTTACGAAAGATCCTCATTTACGTAAAGAAAATTGTTTCTTTTTTAATATGAAAATGGATTCAAGCAAATGCAGAAGGCATTTACGAAAATTTTGTCTAAAGAATTCAATGTCAAAAGAGGTTAAAAAATAAATCTGGTTGAAAAAATTAATTATTTTGGTCAATTTCCTAATTTACTTTACAATATATATATATATATATATATAAATACTTATTGTGAGACCCGTAAGACCAATTCTCAACCCTTGGATTAGATTTACAATCATCAGATTTGAACATTAATAAACGCTACGAGACTTCTCAATAATTATAAAATTGTCACCGTGCAACTTTCGACCATTGGATCATTAACTTATAAAGTTGATCAATGAATATAAATTGGTCTTACGGGTCTCACGAAAAACCCTTGTCCTCACGTGAACCTAACCCTATATATATATATATATAGAGAGAGAGAGAGAGAGAGAGAGAGAGAGACTTAAGATCATGTGGGATCAACTTATTTTTGTGAGACCGTGATACCAATTTTTTACTCTTAAAACTTCATAGTAAAACACTATGAATGTAACTTTCACAGAATTTTTGTTGTGAATATTCATATTTTTTACCATATGTTTTACCATTTTCTTGTAGTCCCGTGAGTCTTATGAAAACCGGTTGGTCTTATGTGAATACAACTATATATATATATATATATATATATATATATATATAGGGTTCACGTGAGACCAAGGGTTTTTCGTGAGATCCGTAAGACCAATTTATGTTCATTGATCAAATTTACAAGTTAAAGATCTAATGGTCTAAATTGCACGGTGGCAATTTTGTAATTATTGAGAAGTCTCGTGGCGTTTATAAATGTCTAGATTTTCATATTGTAAATCTAATCCAATGGTTCAGAATTGGTCTTACGGGTTTCACGAAAAAACATTGGTCTCACATGATCCAAAGTCTATATATATATATATATATATATATATATATATAGTTTGTTTCAAATACAACTCATCGTATTTGTACAACCAATGAAACCCAATAAATTGATATATTTATGGAAATGATAAGAGTTTATTTATTATGATTTGAATATTTATGGAAGATGAATATGATTCATTAATTATGATCAATACTTTATATTAGGAAACAATCAAAACTTCTATGAAATCACATATTAATCAAATGAAATGGACGGTTGAGATTGGGTTGTATTGGTTGCACAAATACCAAAGGTTGTATAATAACCAACCTCTCTCTCTCTCTCTCTCTATATATATATATATATATATACACACACACACACATATTAAATATATTTATTTAAGGGTAGAAAATAGTTCTTTCAGTAAACTGCAAATTTGGTTCATGTGGTTTGTCAAAAGTAACATTTTTTGTCTATGCAATTTTTAGATTACGAGATGGTCATTATGGTTTAAATAAGCATTCAACTTTGATCTCTTCCTTCAATAGCTGTTAAAACGTTTCGTTAAACAAGGGGAATTTTTTTTATCAAATTTTTTTGTCTTTTACACAATCAAAAACCACAAGACCAGAACCATTAAATCCGTTTTGATTGGTTAAGTACCAAAAAATAGATAAAAAAACAAAAATATCCCTCATTTAACAAAATCTTCGACATCTGTTTTTTTAAGAAAATTGTTATTCAGCTACCATAACCAAATTTGTAGCTTACTCCGACTCTTTTTATATCAAATCCCCAAAATTATTTGATTTGGTATCAAATTGTGAGTTCAATGAAAATACTTTCCAAACGCAATCTGCCATATATTATCAACTACTCAAACACGTAAAAAACCTAATTAAGAATTAAAAATAAATTGTATTTTGTTTTCTGTTTGAGAAACATATTTTCAAAACGTTCAGATGAAAAACGTTAATAAATAAACTAAAAAATAAAACTTAAATAAGTTTGTCGTCGTTCACAAAGATATTTGCATCTGAAACATATTATGTTTCCTTAATTGCGTAAAATGAAATTAAGTATCTAAAATAAAAACTAGATCATGACACGTTTTATCTTATTGCAATTTATCCAAATATCAAATACGTCAAATGGGTGCGTGAAATGTATATAAATATTTACGTTTTCTTAAATTGGATTTACTTAAAGAATCTAGAATATTGCTTAAATTGTAACCAAGTTGTACCTATATTTAATGCATTTATTGCTTATAGTGTTGAAAACGTAAGGTCAACCAAAACTGAAATTGGCATCATTTTGTCACATCTATTGAGATTTTGTTAAATAAACATCTGGTTAAAATATGTAAATATTTACTTTTTTTTAAAGACTTTAGATATTTCAGATCTTTTCTCAGTGTCTATTTGGATGATTTTTATAATCAAAGTGACAAATATATAATTTTTGACGAGCATGTGTATTTTCAAGATGGATCAAAGGTCTATAAAGTTATTCAATGTATTTTTAGCCAAATTTCATCGTTTCGTGGAGAGTTTTTTAAGTCTTTTGGTTGATTTTGAGGGATTGTTTAACTTTTCTTGTCGATTTCAAGACTTTTTCAATTTTTGTTGTTGTTGTTCCTAGTATTTTCTAATATATCAGAGCACCCCTCAAAGTTTAATGAATACACGTTTCACACCCAAAAAAATTACTTGGAAAAATCAATTGAGCGAGTACAAAGAACCCCACTTGAGTCCTCATAGATCCGCCCTAGTTTAGAACAATGATCGAGAGTATGTTGTTTTATGAATGAATTTGGTCTCGATAAAGATGCATATACGGAATAAGTAATAAAATTTATGTTATAATATAACTGTTGGAGATACTGTAATTTTTAACAAGAGTTATTCATAATACTCGTCGTTAAAAAAAACGATAAGATGTCATATATCCTTCATGTAAAAATTCAAACAAAAACCAGGTTGAAACAATCATAATCTTTAACGACAATTCATAACAAAATGCATCTCCGGCTCAAAAATATCCACATTACTTGATAGAAAGATGTATAAAAAGACTAGTAGTCCCTACACACCTTACGAGCGGGTCCGATCGATCAAAATTGTCGATCCAAGCCGTACCACGGATATATAACCATTTGGGACAGGAGATGGGGGCCAAATAGTTATCAACTATTAGGCGTATGCTGGAATAATCTATACATCATGACCCAGTTCCTTCTCATAGTCATAATCGAGCCATGATTGAGTCGGGTCTTAACCGGTTAACATAGGTAGGCCTAACCTAGGGGAGTAGGCCGGTCCATTGGTCTGGGTCCAAATCCACATCTCTAGTTCAATGGGGGGAAAAGTGAAGATGAGCTTCCACAGTTTAAGGACAAATAAAATCTTATTTTGTCAATCACGTGAAAATACATAATTATTTATTAACTATAAATTTATTTTGCTCTCTTTTTTCAATAAAATGGTGGAATCGTTAATTTCTCTAACAAGTTCCTAAAAGTGCAAAATGAACTTTTGAGAGGCGATTTTAAAGCACGAAAAAAATTTGACATGAAATAAGGGTTGGTAACGGGCTTCGACAAGCATCAATATCAGAATATCGAACAATGAACTCAACGAAATTCC